TGGCTAAAATTCATGAATTTATTCGCCAGAGACTGAGAATTAGCGGAGACAAAATGAAATCTTGGTATGATGTTTACGCTAATTCAATTACGTTTGCTACAGGCGAGAAAGTATGGCTGTTCCAACCACGAAGGACGAAAGGAAAATGTCCCAAGTTGCAGTCCGCGTGGGAAGGTCCTTATGTGGTACAGGACCGCCTGAACGACATTATTTATCGTGTAACTCGTTCTCCGAAATCGAAACCGAAGATCGTACACGTTAACCGCTTGGCTCGCTACGACGCTGTACACAGAAGCCTTTGACTGTCTCTCACCCAAGAAGAGGACGTTTCTTCGCAGAAGACGAGGGAGTGATCTGTGTACTGACACGCTGAGCTCTTTCCATTTGTGGAAGAAACGGTTCGATGGGGGAAGGAAGTTGTATCCTCTGGAAGATTACGTCCTCCCATTGGGGAGTGAGGACGTGTTCTCAGGAGGGTACACCCTTTCCTGACTGGTCCACAAAAAGAGATGCACCGGATCCCATATTACTGCAGGTAGTATCCTGTGGTGATTGGAGGTGCATCCGGGGAAGAGTTTTGGTGATTGATCAGAGCAGGGAACTCCCGGGAAGTCTACAAGTGAGAAGTTCTCAAAACTTCTTCAAGAAAGAAACGCTCAAGCCTCAAAACGAAAAATTAAGAGGAAGGGTGAGCGACAGAGATTAGAGCTGTACGCGTCGTAGAAGTACTGACGTTCTGCTCAAGGTTTTTTTGGTGGTTTTCCCTTGAGACGGAGGACAAATGTCAGGACGTAAACTGTCTGGAAAAGGCCACCTGGGTAACTAATTACATTCTTTCCTTGTTTACCTACTTTTCTGACAGAAGTACTTGCGGTGGAGGTTACTTGTCAGTTGTCCGATGGAACGATATTTCGAGGTTATAGGACTGAAGTTGGCAGGATTAACGATTCGATTGTCGTTGGTCAACAGAAGTGAAATTTGCCGCGGCCGGGACGGCCGCTCATTCGGCGAGGAGGGCAATGTTACGGCGACTTGTCCAAATCAAGTCGCTGTAATGTGAAACTGCCCTGTTGTGAGCAACTCCTTAAAGAAAAATAGAAGAGAGGGGTTGCCACGGAGGTGTTTTATCAACGTCGAGCAATCAACGCCATCTAATTCAAAGATCTCTAACATAATTTAATTTAGTTGTATTATAGTTTGTGTTCTCTATTGTAAATAAAATGCCGCGACGCGGGAGAAGTGCAGTAATTCGCAACAGTATATTATGTATGAGGCATGTGTAAATATAATTTGTTATCTTAATTTGTTAATGCATCTGAAGAAATTTGTAAAATCAGAATGTATTTTTAGCCCATTTACCTGCTAATAGTGATGTAATATGGAAAAAAGATCAAACAAAAATGCATTCCAATTTTACAAATTTCTTCAAATGCATTAACAGATTAAGACAACAAATCATATTTACACGTGTCTTATACATGACTGTTCATCCCCATAAAATAAATTCGGTCATACAAGTTGCAACAAAAAATATACATACTATAAAGAAATCATAAAATTGTATAAAATAATGATATAAGACCACATCGATCATAAATAAATAATAATTTTTAAAATATTAAACTTCTTGAAAAATATTGTTAAACAATAGAGATATAAAAATAGTAATACAAATTTTTAAAAAATGTATGTTTATAACTTTTCAACTTAATTTACTTGACCTTGACATAACCTTTGACTCCAAACATGAAACAAGTGCAATAAAATGTACGATACAATAAAAAAAAAGTACTTTTATAAAAATCAACATGCAGGGCCATGAGAACTCCGGAAAAAATGACCTTTGAACAAACTACTTTACTATCATATCAGATTACCTGTTAATTAATACCAGTGATCCCCTTGGGGTGGGATGCAGAACCTTGGTAGCAAAAGTGGGAGAAGCGAGCAGGCACATATAAGCACATGTCGGCGAGACGCGGAGGATAACGGGGCGGGTAAGAATTTGACCTTGACGAAGTTGATCGTCGCGCTACAGTTGTGCGAACGGACCTTAGACAAAGCAAATTAGAAATATTTTCGACCGCCAGGTGGAACACGTATATGTTTCTGTGACCACAGGTATCGAACACGATGTATCGGTAAAAAAGAATGTATGAAATACCGACTCAAGGAGGTAAGAAAATTGAACAGTAGCGGAAGAGAGTGAGAAAAAAGCTGAAAGAGAAGGATAGCGACTAAACATGGTTGCCTCATTTCATTCCTCACCGCAATGATGCCATGTTGGTAAAACCGTTTCACAAACTTAGTTTCATGAAACTGATTCCTACTTCATGAGCCCGTTCTGTCACGCTCTAGGTTTCTAGACCAGAGGAAGTTGGCATGCGGGGCAGTCCCCATACTCGAGCGGCACGGCAGTTACAGCAACTACGCTCGTCGAATATTGTAAATATCTCAAGTATAATAAAAAAAATGGTCATTTCTACAACCGAAGCGACTCAGCTTAGACTTTTTGGAATCGAAATATCCAACTCCAGAACTGCTCACTTGAATATTAGCACGTCCATATTAGTTGATATGAACAGTTGTCACGAAGATATTTTACCATGCGCTAGGTTTCTTGATTAGGGGAAGGTGGCATGCGGGGCAGACTCGTACTTGTGAGCGTCATTTGAAGTAACTTTTTCCTTTGCGAAAATGCAGTCTTCTCCGAACTTGTCAGATTCAAGATAATATTCGTCACACCAAAAAGGGTATATAAGCAGGCGATATTGAGTCGCCGGTCTCTTAGTTGAATTTGGTCGCTCAGTCATTTCGTACATATACCTTCTCTCAAATAAAAGTAATAACAAAACTTTTAAGAAAAAGAATTAATATCATATTCATTTAAGAAATAATCCAAGTCATAATCTTAATAGATGTAATAAAATATAAAATATATAAAATTCTAGTTCGTCTGGTACTGCTACTGAGAGACTCACATTCGTTCTGATTGGCGAGTTTACATTCAACGGAAGTGTAAAAGGACTGTGCAAAGAGAACAGTATTATCTTAACGTGTAACGTTCTAGTGTCATAAACAGGAACTGTAAGTACTTATTAAGTGATTTAGAACAATGGAAAGTGCGGGTACAAAACGAAATATTAAAGTGTTCGATGGTGAACGATACAGTGTTTGGAAATTCCGTGTACGTGCTGTGCTGACAGAACTAAACATTATACACGTAATCGACGAAGAACCACCACTGAATAAAACGGAGAAGTGGAATAAAGCAGAAGGCATAATTACAGAGAATCTGGCAGACTCGTTACTATGTTTCGAGAAATCAGAAAACAGTGCGAGAGAAATCTTCAGAAATTTGGACAATTTGTACGAGCGAAAAAGTCTCGCCACTCAACTGGCTCTGCGAAAGAAATTACTGGTTACAAAATTGCAAAATGATACCCCATTGATGAGACACTTCGCGACATTTGATGGCCTAATCACCGAATTGAAAGCAGCTGGAAGAAAATTAGAAGAGATAGATGTAATTTCTCATTTATTATTAACATTTCATTTTATGATGGAAGCATGAAAATAAAGCATGAATAAGTAAACTCAGTCCAAATGTACAGTACTATCAAAGGTAATTTTGAACTATGGCATGAACACTTGGGACATATTGGAAAAGGTAAATTCTTAATTGGTAAAAAACTTTAAATGTAAATTCAAATAAAACTTTAAAGGTAAATTCTTGAATTGATAAATAAAATAATACCAAATAATAACTTATGCGAAGCTTGCATTAAAGGAAAACAAGCACGATTGCCACTTAAAAAGGATAAAGATAAAGATCATGTAAAAGGACCTTTGTTTATAGTACATTCGGACGTGTGTGGTCCAATCAATCCTTCCACAATAAATAACAAAAATTATTTTGCAACATTCATAGATGAGTACACTCATTATTGTGTTACGTATTTAATGGAACACAAATCACAACTTTTTAATGTTTTCAAAGATTATGTTGAAAAAAGTGCCGCTCACGAGTCCGAGTCTGCCCCGCATGCAACCTTCCCCTAATCAAGAAACCTAGCGCGTGGTAAAATATCTTCGTGACAACTGTTTATATCAACTAGTATGGACGTGCTAATATTCAAGTGAGCAGTTCGGGAATTGGATATTTCGATTCCGAAAAGTCTAAGCTGAGTCACTTCGGTTGTAGAAATGACCATTTTTTTATTATACTTGAGATATTTACAATATTCGACGAGCGTAGCTGCTGTAACTGCCGAGCCGCTCGAGTATGGGGACTGCCCCGCATGCCACCTTCTCCTGGTCCGAAATATTTTGAATGGAAGTATAAAACTGTAACGCGTTGTGTTCGAGGTACAATAGAAGGACACAGTGTGTAACTCCACTGGACTTTATTCGGAGATGTATATAAATGACGCGCGGTGCGGATTGTTACAAGATGAAGCTCGGCGGAATGTTTAGACGAGAAGCAGCTCGGCGGAATACTTGGACGAGAAGAAGCTCGGCGGAATACTTGGACGAGAAGAAGATCGCAGTTTCTTGCCTCTGTTATTTATATCATGTCCCCTAAAAAGGCCACGCCTTTTTGGGAGACTCGCTGTTTTTTTTACCCCCGTTTAGTTTGGCGAGGGAGACAGCCATCGTCCAACCCTCGCTGTAGGGGCGCGCTGACCGTTCGGCCGGGTAGCGGTACGCAGCCGGCGACTTTCTCCGCGACTAGGCCTGCAGCACATGTGGCAGTGATAAAAATAAAGAGACAAAGGAATTTCCGGTTCTTGCAAACGTCAAGGACGTTTTCTCTCTGCCGAACCCTTGACATCTGCAAGCGGACAGTTTTATGGTTATTACGGTCGCCGACCGTGTGCTGCTACAAAACTATGTAACTTATCGATCTGTATTATCGACTGTAACTAACTGTAGTCACCGACAAACTCGTCTGTGGTGCATCTTTTTTGTTGGAAGAGAACTATGGTGCTAGTAGTGAAAAATGTCGGAACCTCGAAATGGTATTTCAGATCCACTAGCCCCCCGTATGTCTTAATTAAGTAAGTAATCAACTGAAAATACACTTCACTGCCTTTGTACATGCCTTATCTCGGTTGCTTCGGTTGTGAATTTTCGATTCGAGCTCTAAATCTCTCGATATTTACGAAAAACTGTTAGCGGCGGCCATCTTGTGACGTCATGCTCGTGATATTGACACCACTCTGCCCGAATATTGCAAATATCTCCTCAATAACTGCAAAACGGATATTTCTACAACCGAAGCCCCCGAGTTTAGTCTTTTGGGAATCTAAATTTTCCAGTTGCGAACTGCACACTTCGATATTAAAGCGTCAGTTTTAGTGGATGTAAACCTCTGCAAGCTAATATACGTATATGGTTTTTCTTCGATGTGTGGGTCGTCATAGTGTGCGGCTATCCGCCGCCGGGTTCCGAGTCGTTTGGAAGGAGTAGGCCCTGTTTATTTACCGGTATGGTTGACGGAATGGTATCCGTGCGCTGACGTCTATGTAAATGCACCTTAAAGTTTCAAAATTTCTGAAGGATGGATGATATTGGTCGAAGTGAAACACCGAGCGAACGGTGCGTGAAAAGAGGGAGACTGTAAGTGCAGTGAAGTAGCAGGGCTAGATTTGATGTTCGTAAAGGACACACACACACAGCCCGCTGTTTCGTTCTATCACTCTCGATTATCTCTCGTTCTCTGTCTGAAGCAATTGCGCAGTACTGAATGCGCAGTAGAATGATGATGGTAGAGAAGCTTCTAGAAGGGGAGAAAAGCTGCGATAACTGCATCCAATCATTCCAGTACGCATGCTCGCCATTTTGACTTTATGTCTGCTAAAGTGATTGTGAACAATTGTGAAGTTGCGTGCCATCTCATTTTACATTGTACGTATTTTAATAACATATTCTAATTAGCGTACATAGAAATTATAAATTTTTGCTTATCTGTTGTATTTTTACCTATAGATATCGCTGTACTCATTTTATCATGAATTGTTTAAGAACTTGAGTGATAATTCTGGATTATTATTCTGCATTATGATTTGAGTGAATATATTAAAATTTGCTTAGTTGTTTAAGATGATTATTAAAATTAGTTGTTTTACTCTCACATACAGACTTATACAGTGTCGTTCTCTCACAGTATATCTTTCTCTTCTGTCAGTATCTTACTCTATCTTTCTTTAATATCATTTGATAAAATATTTGAAATAGTGCATGAAATGATAGTAACTTTATTTTATATGCATATAATTTCTCATAGAAAAAATGGCACGAGTTTATGTATACGAACGCCCAGTGGATGCTGTTTCGACGAATGAGTCCTTCTATGAGAAATTGAATGTGAGTATCATGTATCAATATTATTTCTTTACTCTTTATATTATCTATATTATTTTTGTGTCTATCTCATTTGTATTATTACTGTCATATGTTCATTATAATCATTTTTACATAAAATGAGCAATATGGTACTTAGATAAGTCTTATAAATCTTAGACGCTTAAAGATGAATATTATTTTCTCTACATTAAATAATCTCTATTTTCTGAACATTAAATAACTTTATAACAGTACATTTTTAATGTTTTGTATTGTATGGACATGCGAAGTATATCCCAATATTAATGTTTAATCATTGTATCATCAAGTATATGTTTTACACATATTTTCTTATTATGTGCTCCTACGTTCCAACATGTGTTATTAGCTGAATCAATAAAATATTACATCATGTCATTGTTAACTTATCAGCAAAAAAATACTACATAAACAATGATAGAGTAGAGTATTTATGAGAGTATTAAACTATGTCATACAAGAAGAATTATTACATTACTTCCATGAATAGTAGTAATAATAAGTGGTAGTAATTGATGAGTACTGACACGTGTGACTAGATAGTGGATCTTTATGCAAAATATAAACTTACTGCACCAATCATTAGAAAGAAAATTTTAATAAAAATGTATTTCTTTTGTTGATAGTTTTAAAAAATAGAACATAATGTAACAAAGTTATTAAATTCGACTAACGTCTTCGTGGCTCGGTATTTCATTGATTAGTTTTTGTCATAAATGCATAAAATCCGCAGTGTACACATAATCATATGCCATAGCACGACGTATTGTTGCGCAGCGTCCACCTATTTCATATACCTAAAGTAATTCCCCGGTTTATCGATCGTCGACTTACCGCCTGTCCACTTACCGACTGTTGCTAGTGTCATCATGTACACTATTTTACATTCTAACTCAAAGCCCGTGTGTGGATGCCCTAGAAATTACTAATAGCATTACTAATAGCAATTTTTTGCATATCGTGCTACTTGGCATCATTAGTAAGTATCCTGTCCCTGTTGTTTTACTAATAATTCATTTTATAATTATTGTTTGTCCAATACTAAACATTTGCTTCAGTTTTTCAAACATTCGAGCGAGCGGCTGGATAACTAATTACATCGTTCGACAAGAATATTGATCTGTATTAACCCATGGATGGTCCTTGTAGAGTTCGTCACCCAAAATATGAATCCGGAAACAGAATTGCCCTATAACTCTGAATTTTCGAAAAAACATGAGTTTTTGTAAAATACCCCATTTTGAGTAAAAAGAGGCATTACGTAAAAACTAAGAACATTAAAAAGTTCGGACTTACCTTAAAAGATAGACGAGAATTTCCTGAACATATCAATATACTCACTTCTTAATTTATTTTATTTCAAATGGTTGTTAATATTCACCGTCTAGCACGAATTTACTACATACTTATAGCATTGTTTTATATGGACATTTTTTCAAACAAATCGAGAAATTAAATAATAAATCAACAGTACCGCCCCATACGACCCCAATTTTTCTATGTTCATAAAGCACCTTTTTCTTTCACACTTATTACTACTTTTGAACAATTGCAATATTTAATGCACGGATACGAATTTCTTGTCTATACAAAGTTGTTAAAAGATTACAATTGTGTAATTTTTTCTCCAGTCTAAACATATCTTGATTGAAATCATCGCTGACGTTACCTAGATTCGAGGAAATGGTCCAGATAAGTGAATAAGTGCATTTTAAGCGATATAAAGCATTTTTCTCATCATCACGCTTATTATGTTCTTAAAAAACAATCACAGTTATTGTCCATGAATTGTCGAGGTTTTAATTATATATTATTTAATTTATTTAATTATATATATTCATAACACTTTTACAAATATGTCAATGTTTGGAACTTATTAAATAAATTTGAAAGCAACTCAAAGTCTGTTTAGGCGTCATATAATATAGTATTTTATAATAAGTTTATTGCTGGATACTCGTGAAAAACAGTTTTAGATGGATAAGTGTTATACTTATTTGAAGTTTAATGAAAATGAAGAAACAGCAGTTGTTATCTCGCGCATCCTTTTGAAACCCAACGCTATTCCATGCCTTTCTCCGATATAATTTGTGACGTTGTCCTGATCCCGCGAGTTTTAAAACATGGTCAGAGGCAACTCCGGGATTATATGACCCTTTGGCCAGGCCATGCGCGGCCGTAGGTATGTAATCCACCCGGTACAAAGCGCGTTTTGCGGAAATCCGACACGGAGCACAATATGATGTTTAGGCGCTAGACACCGAAAGAAGGTACGGGAAACGCAAAGTACAGTAAAATCTCTCGGACTGACGCCAGGATCGAATTGTAAGGCGTCAACTCTAGCATATGAAGATATACTTTCGAGCCTCGCGGCTCGCCTTTATAGTTGCCGCCACCTCGTAAGAGAGAGAGAGAGAGAGAGAGAGAAAAACTCGGATCGAGCGTAATTATGTGTACATTGCTATGAATACATTGTAGTGATAGAATAAAAACGATGACTTAACTTTTTTATACATGAATATTTTTCCAATTAAAATGATACCAAACACGACATGCTTTAGACCATATTCATTCATTATACGTAGTAAGTAACTTATTTTATTTGCGAAAAAAGCACTAGCAAAACCGATTCTTAACATATGAAATATTAAAGTCAAGGTCAAAGATGTCATTCATATGTCTTTCGAAAGAAAGTATCAGTGAAGTTATGCTATTCGAACATACGTTCGATGACGGAAAGAGAAGGCCTGGTTAAGGGACGACGACGAGGAGTCCATGGGTAAGAGATGACGGCAAGGAAGAGTTTATGGGTAAGAAATGCCGGCAAGGTAAAGGTTCGATTACATTTTGAGGACGAGCCTACGCGTAGAGTGTGTGAAGGAACAGTTTTCTGTACATTTTCCATCAACCCTGGAATTTTAAGAGGTCGAACATAGAGAAAGAACGACACTGTTTAGACATGAGGTCCTCGAAACTCCACCGCCGATAGCGGTGGGTTGCAGATGTGGCTTGCTGGAACCGAAGCCACGTTTTCCTGTGAGGACAAGAATCAACTCGTCACTCTTGTTCGAATTGTTTTTATGGCGTAACAATGGCAATGTAGAGTAAATTTTCCCTAATCGACACTCAGATTCTGCAAAAAAGTGTACAATTTGGAAAGAGGAGATACGATTATTCGAGCCTTGCTGCTCGTTTTTATAGCTGTTGACAATCGGTAATTACAAAACCGAGTCGCAAGGCTCGAATAATCGCATCTCCTCTTCAAAAATTGTCCATTGTTGTGTACAATCTGAGTGTAAATTAGGGAGAATTTATCATATTCATAAAACAATGAAATTATTATCAAAATAAAAGTCAATTTGCCTCGATAGTTCCATTCAAGCAAAATTCCATGAAAACATGATACAGTAGGTTACACTGCGGTCACCAAATCAGTATAAAAGGCAACTCAAAAAAAGAAAATATACGAACTTGACTATCAACAGTCGTTGAGATTGGTCTTCTTGATCACACCGAAAGTGATCCAAACTATATCATGTTTGGTCTCATTTTAATCAGAAAACTATTAGCAATCTGTTAAAAAATCAGTATTAAAATGTTAAAATTTGAAAAAGCTATGTCATTGTATTATGAGTTGTCTTCCGGGAATTCGAATCAAAGGAGCCGCGTCGTATGCTCGGTCACACGGTTGATCGATTCCGTCGAACCTTAGAATCGACGTAGCGAGAAAATCGATAAATTACAGGGACGCAGCAATATCACGATGTCAGTGATGACATATTGAAATTACGCCGGGAAGAGAGACACCACTGTAGACTGAGAAGTCAAAAAGATAAAATCCTCCAAGGTAAAGATTAGTTGGTTCTAGATCAGTGTTTATAATTGTATCACGAGATTTACAAATCAGGCAACCACGAGACGGAATCCGAGTGCCCGCGCTCTTTGACAATATTAGCGTGAGATGTGATAATGGATCATCACCAGATGATAAGTCGCAAAACTCAGGTGTTCGGCACTATTACAAAAATAGATAATTTTATACGCAAAAATACACGAAAGCACGGTGACGGTCGACGTAGTTCGAAGTTTGTACAATCTTCGCGAAATGCGCAGGAATCCCCGAGCTGACCGAAAAATACGATATCGGCAATTGTTCACTTTTTTCTGTGACGTAAAATCTCCGAGGAAATTTTCCGGGCGTAAAGAAAACGACACGAAAATTGCTTAAACGTTTCCTGCGCGGGGCTATTGCGCGAGATGAGACGCACCTCGACGCTCGCTAAACTTCGATCTCTTCGGAATCTAATTCGTTTCTCGCGCCTACTACTGAGCCACCTTGGGAAAATTAATCCTCGGACGGTGGACCGTTTATGACCCCAGCCATGCAGATCTAAATCTGTATTGCATTACCCAGTATTTGAATATATAGGGTTTGATTGAATGCTGGACGAAGAACTTTTTGTAAAAATACAAAAATATTGCGGTGAAACTGCGCACGTCGACATTAATTTATAGTTATTTCAGACTGAAAACAATTAATAAATTGTACGCCACTATATTCGAAAAACTTTCCTCTACCTTTTGAGACCAATTAGAACTTTTTGGCGTTTGTACTTTTCATGCAATACCTCATTTTTGTCGAATATTTTAGATTTTTACAAAAGCTCGTTTTTTTTTCAAAACCTGAGGGTGATGGAGCAATTCGGTTTTCGGATTCTTGTTCGGGAAGTGAAACTCTATAAAAATTTCATAGTGTCTATAGGAAATCAAAAATCGTGTCGGACAGCGTAATAAGTCAACCGCGAAGCTAGCCGCAACTAGATTTCACGACATACGTAAACATAAACATTGTATGGGTCAGCATGGTCTATGAGTCCGTTAGGCGAGAGTTAACGAAGTATCACCGTTGCTCGATCCTCGGAAATCCTAAGGGATCTGTTCCCAGACTCGCGACTTTGCTTCGGAAGTGCAGTGCGGACTTTTCTAGCACGTTACACTCGTAATTGACAATCTTTACTCGCTATTCGAAAACTCATGCTCAGTGTGGTAGCTTGCCCAACAGTGATTCTTTGCGATTTTCGGCGATGCCGGGAGTTGATCCTTTATACTGCTCATTATCGGGACTTGGTTCCTATTGGCTTGCTTAATGACGCTATACGAAAATACGGTGGGCCCGCGTCACGGGTGGCCGCTGGCCCGAGACCAATTTTGATTTTGTCGTAGTTGCAGTCGCTCGTGGCGTCAGGTTGAGTCTCCGACATCTTCAGGGCGCCTCCACGCGGATGTGTAATTTGTAGCAAAAATGATAAAAGAACGGATTCGCGGTACGAGTGCAAAGATTGCGACGTTGGCCTTTGTATAGATCCTTGCTTTCAAATATATCGCACAGAATTATATTATTAGTTTTCACATATTATTATATTTTAATAATTTTCGTCTCGTTATCAATTATATTAAACGTTTAATCGTTAGGCTTTGTAATTATACAAATAACTATGTTACCTATAATTTCGTGAGTCTTTTTAAATTAAAAATGTAAATATACTTGTCACATCAGAGCAACGATTGTTTTATTCGGCACAGTTATTATTCAAGACTTGGAACAACATGTATACAGAAAGCACGCGCGCCGTGCATATTTCCGGAGCGAGTTTCCGTTCGGTGACGGTGCTTCGGCGGATGGAGCTGCCGTAGTGAAAGGGTTAAGCATGCAATTATGTGTATTACAGTTACAACTCGTCATACATGCATACATTTGGGTACACAGTAAAAAAATTAAATTTAATCCTAACTCTAATACACTAAAAAATATTTCTTAGCAAATTTTAATGTTTTAAATATGTCATATGGGCAACAGGTAGAGTTACAGTTAGACATTGGTCAGGGCCAGGTTTTCTTCGTCGCCGGGTCTAGGGTTGCTCGCGATGAACTCGTGACCATCATAGCTTCTTGATGTTTACTGCTGTAAATTCTAATATTTTCATTTTGTGTACTAAAATGTATATGTATGCTATATTTAATTTGTGCTAAATTATATGCAATGTAAATTGTATGTTTGCTATCTCAAACAATACAATATAACAAAGGCACAAAAAAATGGTGAAAAGGACGTTGTTCTAAACAATTACTAGTATTAGTATTTCTTCAATATTAACGGGTCATTCTTCTTCCTAATCTCCACCCACTATAAGAGGGATGAAAGGACTTATATTGTGGAGATATTTTTTTCCTGAGCTATTTTCATTGTAGGGCTCAGTTCGATCCAAAAGATAATATGTTCCTTTGCTACAGTTTTAATTATTTGACTTGGATCTCATAGCAAAAGAAGAAACGTTCAAGCTATATGGACGAGTTAATTCACGACTTGTTGCCCAGTTCTAGATTTGGATGTCTAGTTATCTGAAACAGTCCGCAAAGTTTTAGTAAGATACCATTGCCTTCAGTTTATGGATGATCTAGAAAATGGTAGCTCAGTCATAGTATCAGGCATAGCTGTGGACAGAGTTCTAGTCATAGCTTTAAGCAGAGTCCTAGGTATAACGTACTTCTTCCTACATATTTGTCATTCCATTCAATTTTGTCTCCATTACTATCACCGCCTCAGGCCCCTGCGCCTGCTTTAGTCGCAATCTGAACACACTTACGTCCTTTAACGCGATTATTTATTATTAAATTAGCTTTGAAAATCCTTTATTGCATTCTGTTACTTTGTTAATATTCACTATACACCTTGGTTAAAAACTTCATATGGTGCACATGAGGTGCCATGCACATTAGAAAATTAAAACGGCTGTCACGGTTAAATTACTTATTATTTTGGATTCGAAAAATTAGTAAATATTCTGCAGACATTTTGAAATAAGGATGAATAGCGTTTTTCTTAAAATTATCACTGTCACGTAGTAAAATAAAATTCGGAAGTTCGCGCACCTTGACTTGTTCATTGATTCGAGCGCAGCACGGAGTCCCCCTTCTTCTATCGCACTCCACGGTCGAAGCACGTTTCACTCGATCGATTGACCACGTTGTAATTCGCGTTCTCGCTTTTCATTGGTCAATGTTTTTCGTTAATAACTTGCGAACAAAGCCGCGGATTGCATTTTCGCAAAGGAAAAAGTTACTTCAAATGACCTCAGCTACCCCTCATTTTCGATTGTTAAAATAATTGTGGAACACCCTGTAGTTTGTTGGAAAATATTTGACACGCATTTTTTTTATATGAGCAATGAAAATGGTTCCTGCCCTCAAAATATAGAGTAAATTTGTTTTTGATCGACAAATTAAATGAAAATAATATTTAAAAAATAAAATTTTTCTTCTCAATTTTTCTTATTATAAAGGATTAAATGGCGTTACAAAAAAAAACGAATTTCTGACAGATCATTAAGGTTGGAATTTTTCATAACTTATGTATACAATATTTATTTTTTTCAAAATGTTCGAATATTAATAAATAAATAAATAAATTAATTAATTAATTTTATTGTTTGTTGTGTATTTTCAATCGGTAAGTAATGGCGCATCGTTATATGCAATAAGTGATGTGATACTCGAATACAAATACTCGATACACCTTATACAAATAAAAAGATAAAGATATAACATTGTTTTCGAATATTAATGATAATTACGTGTTTACATAAGAAAACAAATTGAAAAGAAAAATTTTATTTTTTAAATATTGTTTAAATAAATAACTTTCGGCAATTTTTTTAAGCGATTAAATTTGTTGATCAAAAACACATTTAGAAAATATTATTGTTCTGTGCCTTCTAGTTCTAAAGATATTTAAAAAAATATATGGTTTTTATTCTATTCTTGCGGCAGAATCCATTTTTTTCGCTCCTTAGATATGAAACATTGCTAATATAAAAAAATGCATATCAAGTAATTTACACAGCAAACTATATTATACTAAAATCTCATTAAAATATGAGTATCATATTCGACAACGTTCCCTTATGAGTGATATCAATGAAAGGAACTTCTCGGAACGTGCTGTATGATAAGATCACCAGGAAAATATCCTACCCTGCCCATGTCTATCACGACGAATCTCAAAAACGGGGATGTATCTGTAGGTTTTTTTGTACATTGTCTCATGTCGTTTAATAAGACTAATCCTTTGTATTGTAGCTTCTTTCAAGAATTGCGTGTTTGATTATTCAACGTTTTTACATTTGTTTTCAGTATGTTACAACTGCACTGCAGATCAAACAAGAGCCAATTTCTACAGATGACAATTGTCAGGACAGTACTTTGCCATTGGCGGATATCAATACCAATACCACTACCGTAACGGGTGAAACAATTGTTCGGGAAACACAACTATGGAATAACGTAAATAATCAAGAGAATGAGCTTGTGTTATCCAAGTACCGGAATGATACAGATCTATCAGGCACGAACGTCGTCAATACGCAAAAGCGTAAATGTTTAGCATTTGAGAATTTTGAAGTGTCTGAGAAAAAACTCGGCGTTGGACTTAAGTCGCCGGAATCAATCGAAGCAACGATTGAATCTGACGTATGTTTCTTAAACTTTAAGTCATTGATGGCGTCAAAGGTTCACACAGATTATCAGACTGACGGGGCCCTACCTTTTTGTAATAAATATCATACAATTTGTAAATCAGCTCACTTTTTAGATGAACAGAAATGGATGCGTAGGTGCAAAATCAAGACAAAGGTATCATTTTGCTGTCGTTTCTGTACGGCTAAATACAGAACGAAATCGAATTTAAAATGCCACGTGTTCCACAACCACAGTAAATTATTACCTTTCTCTGCAGAGAAAGCTGATAATCATAGTGAAACTGATAAATCTAGTAAAATTAAAAAGATCAAAACTGATGAAACTAATGAAACTGACAAACTTAGTGAATATTGTGAAACTAGAGAAACTAGGGAAATTGATAAAACCAGTAAAATGCAATTGACAGAGAACACTGATAATTACGTAACAAGTCCTTCTGTACATCAGAACGGAAATGATAAAATCGACCCTACTCCCACAAAAATGAAACAAACGACTATTACTCAGTTCCTTTCAGAGTACACGAGAATAACAGAAGATTTTTGTCCAAACAAAGTTCGTAATCCAAAAAAAACTCTGAAAAAAGTGATACCTAGACAAAATAAGACACTAACAGAGAAAATTGATCATTGTGTCGAAACTCCGAAAATAGCCATACCTAGTCAAATGAAAACGATATTGGAGGCATCCGAACCTCAAGGGGAAGGCCGAAGGAAAATTGTAACTAGACGAAGCGGCACGACAAGAGAGAAAGTTAATCTACATCTAAAAACTCAGAAGATAACTAGACAAAGCGGAACAGTAGTAAAATCACTTTCCACTCTTACCAATGAGAAAACATTGATTACCACTGAAAGCTCTACGCCGAATGGCAGCACAACTGAGGAAAACAGTTCATTTGTCAAAATACACATTGGTTGCGACATGATGAAGGCCTTGTTGAATAAGATCATAAAAACCGAATTAAAAGCTGAACCTTGTCATTTCGCGTTAGAAAATCACAACCTTCAACGCGTGACAAGAAGTAGTCTTAGACGATCGTTAAATGACTTAAATACAACTCCTGTGATAAAATCTCCTAAAAGAATTAGGTTTAGAAAGCGAGCCGCTAGCACGCCTAAAGAAAAAGCTGAGCATCAGTCGACGGAGAAGGAACTGAGAGCAAAATTCAAATGTAAAAACTTAAAAGTTAATCTAGTTAGATGCGACATGGTCGTTAAAACAGAAACTGTTGACGTCACTCAGATTTCAGTGGAAGGAGACGAAAAAATTGCAGAAATGTGGCAAAAGAAGGTGACGTTAAATAGAGAAAATGCTCCACTAGTCAAAGTGAATGAACTCATAAAAGTAGAAGTTAAAGAACCGTTCCTATGCTCAGAGGTGTCTAATGCACATCGAGACAACACGAAAGCCAATTCGCGTATACTGTTCCGGTGTAAAGCTTGCAAAAAATGCTTCCCCATAAAGAAAAATTTACGTAAACATTTCGAGCTGCGCCACGTGTTCTTCAAATCGAGCATATGCGACGCTAAGTGCAAAACTAAATTTGAATTGCAGAAACACTACATGAACAAACACAGCGGTTTCAAGCGCATGCAGTGTTGCGTGTGCTTTAAGAAGTTCTCATCACTAGTGATGTTGAAGCAGCACCTCATACTACACTGTACCCAAGTACTGCTACCTAAACGCAAGAAACAATGTATCAAAGAAGTGATCAAGTGTAGGATGCCCGATAAGAAGTGCTCGTGCAAGGCTTGCGGCAAGCGATTTTGGTTGAAGTCCTGTTTGAAGGAACACCAAAAACTGTGTACTAAAATGAGGGGGAGGGAGAAGCAGTCGCAAAACGTGTCTAATACCGTGGAAACATCAACGAAACGAGTATTGGATGACGCGAACATTAAATTGAATGCGCCACAATCTAAGTTATGTTTGATCAACGAGTATTCTAATGGGGCTATATCACCGCCAATGAAACAAACGAAGATGTTGTTGAGGGGTACCACTTTTGCGAAGGGATACACCATAGACTATTCTGGCGTGAATAAGAACACATTCGATTGCACTACTTGCAATAAGCACTTCCGAACATTTCGAAACTTATGTATGCACGAACAGACCTACTCCAAAGCCGCCACGCATGTTTGCACGATCTGCAACACCGCGTTCAGCACCAGGACATTACTGCACCGTCATCATCAATTCACCCACACGTTCAAGACTCTTACAAAGCACAAGTACTTCTGTACGTTCTGCACTCAGGGTTTCCGGAAGAAGATGAAGATTCAGATTCACACGAGACACTTTCATGCTGGTGACACACCCATCATTCCCATACCATGGTTAGAGTGCACCGAAGACTGGGAGGTGAGCACAATATGCAGCGTGTGTAAGCTAGAGTTCAATTCCAGCGAACAGTTCATTCAGCACAATATGTTTTACTATAAGGGTCAAATATTCACCTGCGCGTTCTGCAGTAAAACCTTCCAAGGATTGTACATGCTGCACAGTCACATTAAATCCGAGCACAACACGGAAGATGTGAAGAAACAGTACACGTTCACATGCGACATTTGCAACGAGGGCTTCATCATAGAGTCACATTGTCATGCGCATAAATTGCACGTACATTCGATGTTGCATGAGTCTTCGCAGTACCTACAAGATCATGCCTATGTTAGTGCGGCGAATGGAATGGAATCGACGAATGGACCGATTCCGAAATACAACTGCAATATTTGCCACATGATTTTTATAGCTGAAGAAGACCTGCGTCAACACAAAATGGAGTACACTAATGACGGCAATTACTTTTGCTCTTTCTGTACCAGAAAATGTCTTACAGATGTCATTCTCAGTAAGCATGTGAGTTCATCTCATACTTGCTTCAACTTCATTGATTGTTATCAGTGTCACTACTGCAATGAAGTGTTACCCTCGTATACAGAACTGAAGTCTCATAAAATACACTTTCACCCGGAGATGAGCGGCTCTCAACATGACTGCAGTAATCAAATAATCGCGAATCAAACTACTGAAGCACCTGAAGACATTGCAAACACTTTTAGCTGTACTATTTGTGACACGAAGTTCGAATGCTTGGAAAAATTGAAATATCATTCCATGGCATACTCGACCGAAGGCTTGTACAATTGCCATGTTTGCAACCGTCATTTCCCAAAGCTAAATCACCTAGAGGTCCACATGTTGAGACACACGAATTTGCACTTCATTCTATCTAAATATCACTGTCCCGTGTGTCGCGAAGGATTCACAAATCAGGTTAATGTCCGGATGCACGTGATGCACTTACACCCAAGCACGCCAATAGAGAAACCATTAACCAGTGATGCTCAAAATACACAAAAATTCAACTAGAAAGATATTAAGCCTAAGCTAGTTTCAAATAGTCAACCGAACAAGTTGTCAAAATGTCCCGATTGTATGATGACGTTTGATTCCGCGAGGGGTCTGCTCCATCACAAAGTTCGCTACTCGAATGAAGAGTGCTATGTCTTCGAGCAGTGCAATAGAAAATTCCGGTTTGCGTTCCTGCTGAAGGATCATTTAAAGAAACATAGTCAAACATCTAAACATAACGTCAAACATAATCAAACATCTAAACTACCCGTGTCCTTGGTGCAATGATAAATTCCACAGTTTAGAGGCCCGTTATCAGCATATCATCCATCTTCACTCGAAGGACATCAGGAAAGACAAGGTTTCTCATCTTATCATGGATCAGAATGATCCTGAAGCTGTTGAGCTATTACATATTGAGGAACGTGACACATCATCGCATCGAGCACATACCCTGGCAGACCGGTCGATTCCCTTTGCGAATAGTGAAACTGTTAATGCAACCAATGTAGTAACAAATATGAATGAATGTAGTAACAGTCAAAAATAATTAGCAAAAATTAATTGAGTGGCGGATACGAGTGCAATCTCAACCCAGTAGGAAATACAGACTGAGAATGTAAATATAAAGACTGTGTACGAGATCTGCCCCGTCTGTAACAAATGTCAAATGTTCATCACCGGCAATGTTCGTGATGCATCTAAAAAATGGGCATGGTCGGCGGTTGAGGGAATCATCTATAACCAGCCTTGGCCTTCGCTAGAGCACGTCTACCTTCTGACCAGTGGCATCGTTTTCACTAAAGAACATAACCTATTGGCACAGCTGAACAAATCGTGTACGTGCGGTGAAGAAGCAGCTGTTCATCCCAGGAAGGAAAACACTGATACGGTGGAAGTCGTTTGGGAAAAGAAGGTGAATGCTGTTAAACAGATTGGGGAACAGGACGATCCTGAGGTTTATATTTTGTGTTATAGTGAGCACACTTCTATAGCTAACTATGACAAAACAGTATCAATGTCAGAATCAGTCTGGTCAAGTGTTGATAGCAAGCTGAGAATCAAAGGTTTTGCCAAGATAATATAGATCTGGTTTTTCGAAGCTATTGTTCCTTTCTTTTTTTCGAAAAACAAACGTCAGTGTTAACTTGAGTAGTTAGTATTATTAATATAGTTAACTTGAGTAGTATTATTTAATGATCTTGTTATTAAGGGGTCGATATGTTGTGGAGTACTTGTCGTTTACGTTGGAGCGTTCACAGTTCTTTACTGTGTTTGGACAAGCGTGATTTAGGTGACTCCCTAAGTACCGTCTAACATTATTTTGCTACTGAAGCGAATTTGTATATTTATACGAAATTATATATGACATTATTGTGTCGAATGTAATATTTTGACATTTTGGAAACTATCTATTGCTGTTTATAGTCTGTATTCTAGTGTCACATATTAACTAGTAATGTTCGAGTTGGTCTATATTGGAATGAATTTTGCGTATTATAACCTATATCATAGTGTCTTAATTAGCCTTGAAGTTTCGTTTTATTCCAAGCATACTTTAATCAAATTATCTCCGTTATAAAATTTATTATTACAGCCTATATCAAAGTGTCCTAATTAGCCTTGAAGTTTCGTTTTATTCCAAGCATATTTTAATCAAATTATCTCCATTATAAAATTTAGTGAATGTAGCTGAGCACAGAATTTGTCAAATTTGAAAAGTTCATAGAAACTTTAATTCCAACGCTGATCAAGTTTGCTAAACTTGAAAACTATGATCTATTTAGAATATAGCATACCATCTGCAAGGTATGAACGATGCAGTTAAAAGTATTCTAAACACCTTTGGTTTATCCATTCTGTTAGAATTCTTTACACACTGCTATCGTCTAAATTGTTTTACTTCAATCCTTTGCACTCGGCGCCATTCTTTAGCGTCTTCCACACTTTGTCGCGAAAACGCGCACCTAGGAATTGTCACATTATATAGTATAGCTTTGGAACCAAGTAAGGTATTGCCATAATGTTTGATTTATATGAATTGTAGATATCGTTGACATTTGCAAAAAAAATCAAAATGTTATTTCTTATAATCTTCTACAAGTTTTTTTTTATTAAAAACATTGATTTCCGTATTTGTGTAAATATACCTTTTCGATTAACTTTTATTGCGTAGTTAGATGACATTTCATATTTAGCAATTCTTCTGCTACGACAATGTTGGTTTGTACATATGGTATCCTTTTGCATTAGGAAACTACTTTTTATATCAATGTAATCACTTATTTTATATCAAATACTACGTATGCTTTAATAAATTCTGTAGCAAACAATGTAGTTTGAACAAACATGTGTGCACATTTGATTTAACTTTTTATGTCATGCGACGTCGCCTCGGTCCCCGCGAATCCCCAGATGCAAGCAAGGGCGACTCCGGAATTCTAAGGCCGTTAGACCAGGCCACGCACGGCCGTACGTGCGTGGTCCACCCAGCGCAAGCTCGATCCCCTTAAGATTCAACGCGGAACGCGATATCAAGTCCGAGCGCCAGGCACCAGACCACTCCCACGCGAAACGCAAAATGTGTTTCTCCACCGCCGAATCGGAAACCGGTGGGCGCGAGAGGATCTATTAAACGGGGTTTAGGTTTCGATCACAGGAATAGGGGTGGGTAAACCGTACGGCCAGGCGGATCTCGCGGATGAAATTACGACGCCAAAATGAGCTCTAGATTAATGTTTAATCGTGTCGATGTTTACAGAATTGCGCTGCCCCGTGGCTGCACCCGAAAGTCCGCGCTCTTTACAGTGGGCGGAGGATAGTCGTCCGTGGTTCGCTTGTCGAGATTTCCTTACAATCGGAGGGCCTAAACATAAGTACTCTCGACATGCAGATGTTCAGCACAGTTTCAATTTGACTGTCGAGCTCGCCCACGCAGCGCGAATGGCACGAAAGCACGGCGGCGGCCGTCAGGAAGGCGGCCCGAAACGCCGACACTGCGGGGATTCCAGAGCTCGTCGAAATCGTCGGACTCGGATTCAAATCGGATCGCGAATCGTACCAGAATCCCTGAGTTGACCGAACGCACGCGATATCGGCGATCGTCACACTTTCCACTTTCCCGGAATACCAAGTCCCCGAGCAAACCTTCCGAGCGTGACGGAGATTCCGCGAAACTCCGTAAACGTCACCCCTCAGGAACAGACGGTATCGTGCGACGAGAGGCGCCTCCACGCGCGAGAGCTCTGAGTTCTTCGAAGGTCTACTCGCCTCCCCCGCGCCTAGCTCCGAGCCACCACGCGATATTACGCGAAGGATCACAGAAAACGACTCACCGCCTCCGACCCTTCTCGCCGCTCGTCATCCTTCGGTCTCCTGTGTCTTCCTCATCACCGCGACTTCGCTCTCTCTCCCGCTCGCTGGCACCCTCTCGCTCTCTCTCTCTCTCCCTCTCTCTCTCTCGCTTACACTCGTGCTCGCTCTTTTACACACTGACTTTAGCTCACACTTCCGACACGTACGCTACGCTTGGGCGGTTCGCTTAATAGTGATCCTTCGCGATTTTCTGGTCGCGACGGGGCGCAATCCTCGGTACCCCCCACCACTCTACTCGCTCGTGGGTCTTAGCCCAATTGGCTTGCCTAATTGTGCGATAAGGAATTGAAGCAGGACTGTCCCGCGGAAGGCCTGCGGCCCGATGCTGCATCCGACTTTTCCCGAGTACTCCTAACATCCATTCAGCGCACCTTCGCACCATCCACGCTTCCTTCCTCCTTAACCCTTTCGCTACGGCAGCCCCATCCGCCAAAGTACCGAACGGAAACTCGCTCCGGAGATATGCATAATGCGCGTGGTTTCTGTATATATGTTGTTCGAAGTCTTAAATAATCACTGTGCCGAATAAAACAATCGTCGCTCTAATGTGACAAGTATATTTACATTTATAATTGCAAAATACTTACAAAATTATAGGTAACATAGGTATTTACATAATTACAAAGCCTAACGGTTAAATGTTTGATATAATTAATAACGAGAGAAAAATTATTAAAATATAATAATATGTAAAAACTAATAATATAATTCTATGTGATATATTTGAAAGCAAGGATCTATACAAAGGCCAACGTCGCAATCTTTGCACTCGTACCGCGCGAATCCGTTCTTTTATCATTTTTGCTGCAAATTACACATCCGCGTCTTCTGTGTACACTTCATTTCGATGCCGCATATATGCGGCGCCCGTACCCATAGGTCGTCGAGCGGATGCCGCGAATATGCGGCGCTCGGCGCGAAAGGGTTAAAGTTCCTTTGGCTTTTGGTCCTGGTCGCCCCCGGGTTGGTTGGCCCGTGTGCGAAGTGTCATCCACCTATGCGCGTGTAGGACGTTTTGAGGGTGACCTACAATAGGGCACGGTCCCATTCCGACGGCAGCCAAAGGGTGCCTTCTTAGCGGGTCAGTGGCGGGCACTAGGTCCGCTCCTGAAAACTTCCAAAAAGCTCGCCTCGCGGGGTGCGAATTATCCGGGCGAAAATACACCGAATTCTTCTCCCGGGGAGTGCTCTCATGCCAATTGCAAATTCATGTACACCATATTCATAGCCCCATTATCCCGTTGCAAGGCAAGACAGATATAACATAAAAAAGCATATACAATATGAATTTAAATGATGTTACGTATTACATACAATATTTTATGATTATAGGTGATTATTGATGATTCTTTTAAAATTCCTCCTTTCTACTGATTTAAATAGCATGTATGTATTGTGATGTGGTACCTCATTCGCGAGTCCTAAAACGCGACTCCGGAATCCTAAGGCCCTGTGGTCGGACCACGCATGGCCGTACGGACGTGATCTATCTGGCACAAGACGCGATATCCAGGAATCCGACGCAAAGTTGGATAAGATATTCAGGTGTCAAGCATCGGAAGAGTGCAACGTGAAACGCAAACTATTTCTGCGGCGGCTGTTGAACACCGGCGCACGCGCGATGGAATGAACACGACAATGACTCAATGATTCGAACACGGGAATAGCGGAGATTTGCCCTTACGGCAGAGCATATCTCCCAGTATTGAATGATGGCTCGAGCATAAGCTCCAGATTGATCTTTAATCGTTTCGTCAGAGAATTACAAATTTGGTAGGAACGAGACTGGATCCGAGAGCTCCCACTCCTTATACAATATTTACGAGAGATGTTCGCTCGCAGCACAAAGTTGTCGGAGTTCTCGATGCTATGGCAGTACGGTAATGCGGTATGTACTTTGTACAGAATCGTCGCGTCACGATAGGTCGTAAAACGCAGATAATCGACATAATTACAATTTGATTTTCGAGCTCGGTAGCAGAGCAAGACGCAATTCGGCGTGGCTGGCACGCGATGACAAAAAACGTACAAGAGCGTGGTAACAGTCTACAGGAGATCGACAGAGCAATCGCTAAAGAGACAAGGATACTCGAGATCTTTGAAATTCATTGGAATTACACTGGTCGCGAAATGAGCTAGAATCCCCCAGCTGATCGAAAATTACAGAATTGACGATTGTTACACTTCTTACTTAGTTACTTCACTTACTTCAACGCAAGGTCCTCGAGGAGAACCATCGAGCACTACGAAACGACGTGAAAATTCCTCAAATGCTCACCGCGTAGGAATGGAATGGTAGTCGTTAGTACGCCCTTGACTTGCTCATTCCCGCTAGACGGCACCCCTGACTTCTGGACTAATTAGGCCGGCATGGCCTAAGTAGTTAGCACGCCAGGCACACGATTTTCGGCGATAATGGAAGCCGATCCTGCGTACCTCCCACCTCACTCATTATCGGGACTTAGCCCCTATTAGCCTGCCTAAACACACAACATTAAAATTCGGTAGGACCGCCGGCCCGAGACCGATTTCGATTTCTTCATAACTAGAGGAAATCATCGACATCTTCGGAGCGTCTCCACACCACTCACGCTCGACGGAGCCCTTCCTTCGCGGCACTAGGCGCCGACAGGACATCAAATGTGGACGCTCCTGGGAACTCCTGTGTTGGGATGGCTGGTCTCTGGGTTTGTCCACTCGTATATGAGATGATATTCCTTTCTCTGCACGCAGTATTCTCTGGAGTGGCCAGAAATTTATAGAATGATCCCAATACTTGGTATTGGGATCGTTAGCTACGGGGTGCCATACAGAGAGGCTCGATGAGTACGTGGCACTCTGCTGAAATCTCCGATGGGCTCGACCCGCAGAATATGAATTAGAAAATGCGTAATTTCACCAGATTTTTTCCTCGGGACGTGCTGTTCTGACGATCAAGCGCACGTACGGTCCTAGAGAGAGAAAGAGAGAGAGAGAGAGCTGTCCGAAATTGTTCTCACTTTTAAACTCCATTTAAAAAAATTAATATTTATTACTATTTATTGTTGTGAAATCAAAACAAAGAATTAATTTTAAAAGATAATTTTTCAATTACCTTTCATTTTTAATTTAAAAGTATTTCATCACATTCAGGGGTCGACTGCTGTCGATCATACAGGCAAAACGTCGTTACTCAGCAGACGAGTGACAACGCAAAACGTGCAAGGCATACTGTTTTAAGTTGCCACACGAAGAGCGCTGCCGAGCAGGTGAGCGACACACATAAGAAGACGCTGCTTGATAGATTTGTCGTTGGTCTAAAAATAGATCGCTTTAGCTAAAATACGGCTAACTGGTGATCGTCGTCAATCCTCTTTCTCACGATGAATCGCCATTCTCTTTCAAAAGCGAATGATTCGTAAGTTTTTCTCGAGAAGATTGCCGTGCGCGAAAGAGTGGGACTCGCGAATCCTACGTATCTCGCAAAATTCCGGTAGCGAAAGCGCGGCTTACCGTATCATCTAGCACTGCAATCAGTGCCTAACGGCCAATCAGCAGTAATTAGCCGCCGTGCCGCGATCACTCACGGATCTAAAAGGTCGACCGCAACGCGACTCGACAGCATTTCGCTGGGAGTCCGACTGTTAGGTGTTTCTGTGATGTGATTTCCGAGTCCTAGGTGCTTCTAGGTCCGCGGGTAGCATTACATCTCTGGTTCGCGAGCGAGACAGTAGAGCAGGATGCGCAGTGCCTACACCGACTCATCCAGCCTGTCCAAATGACTTGTACGCGAAGGCAGGCGTAAGCGATTGAACGGTGCGGTGAAATACGACTCTGTCGGGAATCTGCTGCGAAGTGGTATTGTCGGCGAGAGGTTTTAGATGCCTCCAGAGCGTTTCGGGGCGATTGGTAGATGCGCGTCTATTTTTAGGCGAATGCAGCGCAATAAAGGGACAAATCGCTTCCCTCTTCTCGATTAGACGCGTATGATTGA